ATAGGCAGAGATCAAAGGAATGGAGATTACCCAGCGCCTGTGAAGTAATTACATCTTGGTGTCTTCAGGCACCTATTATTGTAATGGATAATGCAGAAACCGGCTTCCTACACCTGAGCAAGTGGGAGCTCATGGACCCCAGTCAGATAGCTGGGAAACCAGCATAGGACCGAACCAGGCCTCTTAAACTTGGGTGACAGGTAGGAGGCCTGGGCAGTTTATGGGGTCTCTTGCAGTGGAACCAGCATTTATTCCTAGTGCACGAATGGACTTTGGGAGCCCATTCCTCCATGGATGGATACTCTCTCAGCCTAAATACATGGGGGAAGGCCTATGCTCTGCTCCAAATGATTCCCAATGGAAGGCCTCACTTTTCCTAGGGCGTGGATAGGGAGTGAGTCTGTGGTGGGGGTAGAGGGGGTTGGTGGGAGGCATGGGAGGATGGGAGGGAGAGAGAACTGGGATTGAAATGTAAAATATGATTGTTTCTAATTTAAATAAAAATATCAAACAGAAAAAATGGCAATCCTACCAAAAGCAATCTACAGTTTCAATGCAATCCCCTTCAAAATTCCAACCAATTCCTCACAGACCTTGAAAGAACAATATTCATCTTCATATGGAAAAACAAAAAAAAAACAGAATAGCTAAAATACAATCCTGTACAATAAAGGAACTTCTGGAGGCATCACTATCCCTGACTTCAAACTCTAGTACAGATCTACAGTAATAAAAACAGCTTGGTATTGGCATAAAAAACGGACAGGTGGATCAATGGAATCAAATCAAAGACATTATTAATCCACACACCTATGAACACCTGATTTTTGACAAACAAGCTGAAATTATACAATGGAAATAGGAAAAAATCTCTTTTTAATCATTTTTTATTTTAGAAACAAGATTGATTTACATGAAAATCCCACTTCCCTATCCCTCCCTTCTTCCCCTACCATCCTCCTAACTATCACATGCCCTTTCTTCTATTCTTCACCTAACTCAACCTTTCTGCTTCCTCATGATCTCTGCATCCTTCCTCTTCTACCCTTCTCGTAGCTCCCTCCCCCCTCTTCCCATGCTCTAAATTTGCTCAGGGGATCGTGACCATTTCCCCTTATCCAGGGGACAATGTTTGCCTCTTTTAGGGTCCTCCTTGTTTACTAGTTTCTCTGGCTTCTGCTGAGTAGTACTCCATTGTGTAAATGTACCACATTTTCTCTTTCGGTTGAGGGGTATCGAGGCTGCTTCCAGGTTCTGGCTATTACAAATAGTGCTGCTATGAACATCGTTGAACAGATGTCCTTGTTGTATGAATGTGCTTCTTTTGGGTATATGCCGAGGAGTGGAATTGCTGGATCTTGTGTTAGACTCATATAGGAAAACATCTTTAACAAATGGTGCTGGCATAACTGGATGTCAACTTGTTAAGAATTCCAATGGTAACAATGGGTGAAAGATAAAATGAATTGTAGTTAATTCATATGATAAATTACAGGAATAACCAACCAGTATGTTGAAGAAAGAAGGCGAGTATGACATATCACTTAGTACATGATCCAATTTACATGACATTTGAAGAAAAACAAAATTCACCATCTTCATAAAAGTAGCTATTACTGACAAGGCATTAGACTGGGGAATCAGAAAGTTTGGGCCGGCGGAGGGAAAAGGAAGAGTGAGGTGTTTTCAGACTCAGGGAGCTTCTCCCTGTCTGGGCAGGTCCACTTTATGCAGTACCAGACCCAGAGAGATCCAGGGTGAAGGGGACGTTGGGCAGGAGTAGGGCAGGTGCAGAGGGTACACTCACCTCAGTAGGGGTTGGGCTGGCGGTGGAGGGAGGAGGAAGAGTGAGGTTGATAAATGATATATTTTTAATAACCTGTTTTCTGATTCCATTTCAATGCTCAGCTATCCAGGATTATACATAAATTTTACTATTTTAGTGTATGTAAAAAGATTTAATAGTCCTATGCATTTTCTTTATGATGACACCTGTTTTGACTCAAACAAGCATAGCAGGAGACATTTACTAGGGCAGATACGTCCCCCCCCCCCCCCCGCCCCCCAAAAAATAGAATAGAAAACTTACTACTTAGAAAACCATATTGCTAATAAAAATTTCAGATCAGGATAGTTTTGTAGGATTTTGTTTTAATTAAAGAATTTGTAAAATGTTTGAAATAGATGCAAATAAATTTCTGTTCCAGGAAATTAATACAGGTAAAATATTCGAATGTTTTGCAATTAGTACTGAAAACACAAGTTCTGGCTCTTTCCATTATTTGAATGTGTTTATTTGCTCTTGAAAAAAGTGTTGATGTCAAGATTTAAGAAACATATTCCTTACAGAAGCCTGTTTAAATCTAGGATATGATCTTACAGGCCAAATTAGCTAAAGAGGCTGGTGGAGGCCTAAGATACAGTGTTCACAAACATTGGAGGTACCTTCATTTGGCTTGGTGTAGGGTAGGCTAGGTTTGAAATTACATTTCCCACCCCAGCCCCCACTGCCACAAACACAAGAAATAAGAACCTTTAAAAGGTGTCATGACTTTATCAATTTTTTCTATAATTATTTCATTTAATTAAATTTCCTCCCTAAAAATAATTTGAGAGGGCATGCTGAAATGCTACATTTTCTTTAGTTAGATGAGAAGATCTTTGAGTCATTAAGTAGTAGGTAGTATTTTAGCTTGTCAGGGAATATTATTGTTAAAACAGCATCAGTTTTCCAAATATATTTATGTTGTGTGATTTACTTTGTAGCCCTTAAAATTTTTTTGGGGGGGCTTATTTGCATGTTGGGTGTTCTACCTGCATGTATGTATGTGTAGCCAATGCATTCTTGGTATCGAGGTTAGTCATGAGTTTTGGAACCTCTGGAACTGGAGTTACAGTTTTGAGCCACCATGTGGCTGCTGGGAATTGAACCTGAGCCTCTGAAATAACAAGTGCTCTTAACCTCTGAGCTAAGTCTCCAGTTCCCTGTACACTTTCCTAAATAGGCAACACCAGTACCAAAGCAAATGCTTACTGTTGTCATGAAGTAGTTAGGAGTTTATTAATTGACTTCTGGAGACCAGTGTAGGAAAGTGTCAGAAAATTCAGCACAGGCTCTTTAACTCCCTTTGTCAGGCATCCACAGCAACAAGAAGAGTCTTTGGAAATGGCTCTACTCAATATTTGGCTTAGCAAATTGCCTCGCTCCCATAGAGTTGCCAGATGTCTAGATGTGCTGGCTCGGACTTTTAAGAGGCTTTTGAAAACATGGGAACCTCACAAGAAACCAGAGGTTCATTCAGGAATTGGTTCCAGTTTGGGGACACAATGGAAAACAATGGGAAAGTCTTAAACCTGTCTCTTGAAGTTTGTGGACTGCATTGTTTTTTTCTATGAGTTCAGCATGATACAACCAGTAGTTAGGATCTAAAGGTTTCCAAGTTTTAGAGTATTTTTAAAGGTCCTTAACCTAGCAGGAAAGGCTCTCAAGAGGTGTTAGGTTGGGAATCATGGGGTGGTCTTCTTCAGAGAAATTCCATCATTCTCTAAAGCTACCATATAGGTAGACCATTTTTTCTTCTTCACTTTCTGATTCTATTAAGTGATCAGGAGACGGAATTTTGAGACTCATTAGAACAGTGGTTTTCAACCTGTGTGTAGTAACCCCTTTGGAAAATCCCTACTTACACTGATTCATAACAATAATAAAATTATAGTTATGAAGTAGCAATAAACATAATTTTATGGGTGTCACCACAACATGAGGAACTGTATTAAAGGGTTGCAGCATTAGGGAGGTTGAGAACCACTGCTTTAGAACAAAATAGCACAGAACCAGAAAAAGGTGACAATTTAAGGCAGAAGAATGCTGACCTTTAACACTGGTAAATAGAAAAAAAAAACTCATTAATTTTGTCTGTCCATTATACATATTAGGTATGCCTCAGGCCCACACTGTGCAGTCCTTGAAGATTATGCTGTACACAAGAAAGATATGTTAGTTCTTAGGACCAGTTCAATGTGTAAAAGTGTTAGTCACTTACTTACCAGTGAACTTACTTCACAACTGGCTCAAGAAGAGAAGAGTTCTCCAGGCAAGCTGATTCTCAGTAGTCAACTGTAGTGATACTACAGAGAAACACTTTGTGTACTTGGTTTTGCTTGAAGTGACTATGTATTTACTTGGCAATTAACGATCATTAGCTGTCTTAGTTGTCTGCCAGTACTACTCTGCAGTAGTTATGATCTGGTAAACTGTCAATAACATCTGTTGTTCAAAGATCTGATGTTTCCTATAGGTAATTTACCTCTGAAATGGTGTCTCAATAACTGGACTATCGAGAACAGTAGCTTCAACCTGTGAACAAGACTAGAGATGTGATTTTAAGGACTAATGTAATACTATTACTATCTAATTTTAGGACTTTCAAGATATGGATGGTGAGCAAGGCTTATAGATTATCTCATCTCTGTCTTTTTATTTTATTTTTTTTGAGACCGAGTCTCCCTATGTTTTTCTGACAGACCGAGAACTCACTTTGTAGAATAGGCTGCCTTCAAACTCAGAGATGTACCTGACTCTGCCTTTGAAGTGCTGGGATCAAAGGTGAGTGCCACTACCAATGAGTAACATATATCTAAAAAGACACAGCTCAGACATTCCATGCTCTCAGACAGAATAAACAAGTATTACAAAGACACCAACCTTATGTCACCAGAAGAGTAAAGGGAACACTAGACGCTACAGCAAAACAAGGCAAAATGCTTATGACTTTACCTTTAAGCAACACACATGATTGTGCTCTCAAACACATGTTTACATTATCTACTTGGTGCTGAAAAAAATATTTTGTTGAGATAGGAGGGGCTGGCTTTTAACTGTCCTGTCCTTTCATATTTTTGTTGTTTTTATTTTAAATAGATTGCATCTGTAAGATTTCTCAAAGTACCCTTGAAAAGGCTAACTCAACCCCCTATTTTTAAATAAGCAACAAGACGTGTATTAGAAGACATAAATTTTAAACATAAACAGTGATCTCACTTATATTTTTCTTTTATAGTCCCTGTATATATTTCCATACTAAAACAAATTAACCAATTTATTCTAAACATTTTCATGTATTATTTAGTTTTCAAAAAATGACTGATCTAAAATACACATATTGTTTAGTTTTGTCATTATTAAAACTAAAACTTGTCAAAGACACGACATTTCTATATGTATTTGCTCTTTTCTCATCACATAAAAGTAAGAGTCAAGACCTTTGTAAGATTTAAAATGAGACTATGGTACCTGAATTTAATATAGCATATTGGAAAAAGTTCTCCGAATAGAATGCTGAAAATATATGAAACATTCATTATTAAAACCCACAACTCTAAACAAAACATTGTCATACTGACCTCTAGTGGCTAGACTCCCTGTATTTCACTGACAGTGAAAGCCAGATAAAATAAAGAGCCAGATAAAGAAAAGCAAGACATTTTTATCAACAAAGCAATAAAGGTGACAAGCATCTAAAACATAGAGGCAGTTAAAGGACAAAAGTTGTCAAAAATATTGGTATGTTCTAATTTTGTCAGTTTATTTTACATTGAAAATAAACAATACATAGACATACACAAACTCTTATTTTATTATCATTTATTTAGAATTTAATTTATTTTGTGTGTGGTACATGCATGTTTATGCCAGAGACTGACAATAGAAGCTTTCACCAATTCTATCTTATTTTTTGCCAGGCTCTTAGTGAATCTGGAGCTTTCTGTTTTGGCAGACTGGCTGGCCATCGAACTCCTGGGATCTGTTGTCTTTCAAACCCCCAAGTGTTGGGGTTTATAGATGGGTACAACATGTGATTTTTGAGATTGCTGGGCAGATGAATTCAGTTCCTCATGCTTGTTCACCAAGCACTTCACTCATTGACCCACCTCCCCAGCTTCTCTAGTGATCCTCAAAGTAAAAGTTTTGTATGTTCACCAGCTTAAAAGTTTTGTATGTTCACCAGCCATGTGAACCTACTAATCATGTCTAGTGGCACTAGTGCAATATAACAACAAAAGATGCAAAGTTTTAGTAAGATTAAAAAAAATGTTATTTATTTTTTTGTTTTTTTGAGACAGGGTTTCTCTGTGTAGCTTTGGAGCCTATCCTGGCACTCGCTCTGGAAACCAGGCTGGCCTCGAACTCACAGAGATCCGACTGCCTCTGCCTCCCGAGGGCTGGGATTAAAGGTTTGTGCCACCAACACCTGGCATGTTGTTCTTTTTAATAATGTATATTGATTATATGGCTAGTGATTTTGTATACTTGATTAAAAAACTAGTTTCTAGGTGTTCTTTCCCTGTTTCTCCTTCTCAGAATGCACATTCTTAGTTTGTTTTTGTTCCCAGTGATTTAGCGGGAGTAACTTTCTCAAGTTGGACATGTTGATTTCAAATTACAGGCACTTATCACCACCACATTCATCACTTTAACCAGAAAATTGTGTACCTACAAATTTTCTGAAACTTAATTATAGCACATTCCTAGGATGAAATCTCATGCATCCTGTCTGTATCTCAGTTTATTCATCTTAAAAGGAGATAGAAATAAAGAGTTAAATGAAGTAAAGCACTTAGAATGGTGTCTGTCACATTCAAGGAGTCAATAAATTTTGTTAGGATTAGCATATATGAATAAAGCTCAGGAACAGTTTGCACTAAAAAAAGCCAGTTGCATTTATGAGTATTTACACAATGGATGATTAAAACACGAAAGCCAGTGGATACATTCATTCATTCACTCACTCATACTCGTGTGGATATACGTAAAAATCTGGGTAGTAAAAATGAAGTGCATTCTACCAGTCAGGTTACTTGTGACAGGGGAAGATAGTAAGTAACTCGAAAGGCATCCAAGAGGCTTTGGAATGTTCGAGTTTTCTGCGAAAATGGGAGAATGTTCCATCTTCGCAGACGATGCTGTCGTGCGGGGGACGTTCTTTGAATTTTGAATAAGTTGATATAAAACTAACCGCAAGGAAAATAAAACACGGACACAGGATCGCCGGTGAACATGCAAGAAGAGAGACCAGATGACGGAGGTGTGCACTCCACACACAGCTACAATGTGTGTGACACAAGTTAAGCAAAGGGAAGAAAAGTGAAGAATCGGATGAAGTCTCCCAGTGAGAAGTCAGTCTGAGGTAGACCTCTTCCGGATACACTTCACCGATATATACGGGATAGGTGTCTTCAGTTTTGCACAATTACCCGGCAACAATAAGTTTCGAATTTTGGAGAGGTGCGTCCTAAGCCCCAGCTGATGAGGCATTCGTTCTGAGATAACCTTACACCAAGTGCGTGGCTTAGCCGGGACCCCAGGTCCTTTTGCACAGTCTGCGTTCTCCTCTGCTTAGAAGAGTTGTTATGCGGGTTTGTGAAGTAGACCCGGGAAGCTGGAGCATCTCCAAGCCGATGAGGCCTAAATTTACCCCACCTTTCTCTCCCCAGGTCCCAGACTGGTCGGCTGACGCCCACCGCGTCCTGGGAGTCTGGTCCAGATGGCTCTCAAACCCTTGACTTCCCCGGCGCCCGAGCGGGCCCTCCGTGACTCTCAGACGTCTCCTCCGCTCGGATTCCCCCGTCAGGCAGCAGGAGCAGAGACCACATTCTCAGCGGGCCTTGTCTTTCTCACCCCATGCCCAGCGGCTGTACACTCGGGGCCATCAGCTCCGACCGGAAAGTTGAACGCCCGCCACAGAGCGGCTCCTTGACGTCACTTCCGGCTACGCCCACACCGACTCTTCACAGACACTCCTTTTCCTTTGGGGAGACTAGCCGGCCACACCCCCGGCGCATGCGTGCGAGCAGCGGGAGTTCAGGTGGGGGGTGGGGTGATAGTCAGGTCTCTCTGGGCTTCCGGGTCCCGCCTCACGTGAAAATCCCGCGGGATCTCATCCTTCCGCGAGAGTGGTTTGAAAACTCTGGCGGTAACCACGCCCTGGATGAGCGCACTGGCTGTTCTGGGGGAAGCTGAGGGAAACTGAGTACGCGCGGATTGCCAGTTGCAGCCAGTCACCCGCGGGCAGTTCTCCTCCCCGAGCCATGGCAGCAGAGAAGAAGCGGCTTTCTGTGAGGGAGGCTTTCCAGCTGGCGCAGCAGCCACACCAGAACCAGGCGAAGCTGGTGGTGGCGCTGAGCCGCACGTACGGCGCGGTAAGCGGCCAGGCCTCCGTGCCCGCGCTCCCTCCCCGGCGGCCGCTCCCGGGCTCAGCCTTCGGCCCCTGCGCGACCCGCGTCCGAGTGACCCCGGGGTCAGGTGCTCTGAGGCTTGCCCGAGGCCTGCTGGCCTCAGCCCACCATCACGACTCCGGGCGTCGTCCACACGGAGTCTCCTTCAGTTTCCTCCACCCCTCTTCCCGGACCCCCGCATCCGCTGTCTTTAGTAGTGACTTGGAGACAAGTGTTAGGCTGCGAAGTGAATCTCAGACGCCCTTCTTCCCTTTGGGGTCTCTAGGTCATCGTTGGAAATCCGACCAAGTTATTTCAACCAACTCCTTAACTTCACCAAATAATCAGAATCATTAGGACCTAGCTTTACCTATTTGTGCTAATTGTGCATTTATGCTATTTATGCTAATTGGGGATTGCAGGACAGCGAGTTTGAGGAAGATAAATTATTTTGAAGTATGGGGAAGGTTAAGTAAAGATAAATGTGACGAACGATAATGGAATAGGTTGTGGAAGTTAACACCCAAAGGAAATTGCTGCATATTAGCAAAGTCCATATAAATACAAAAAACGGTGTTGATTTTTGAGTTATTCTTGCCGAAGCTTATTTTGCATTAATATGGTAAGAAAAGCATCGCAAGTCCAATGAGGTTAAAAGACAAAAAATAAGAGACCTTTTCATTGTCCAGATTTGTGCTTTGTACTTTCTCAGAGGTGAAATTATATGCAGAAGAGAAGTTTGTGCACGTTTATTTCCCCTTTTCTTGGGTTGGATAATTGAGAATTTACTAAAAGAGATTTTAGTTTGACCTGAGGCCAAAGCTTTCAGCAGTGTTATGGTAGTGTTGGGAATGAAGAATTTTATTAATGCAGCTTATGGAGGCGTTTCTTCTGTTTTTCAGATGGATAATAAGACAGCTTTTCAGGAAGAGTTTGTTCATTACCTTAAGTATGCTATGGTGGTATATAAACGTGAACCTGCTGTGGAGAGGGTCATAGACTTCGCAGCCAAGTTTGTTACTTCATTTCACCAGACTGATGAGGAAGAAGAGGAAGAGGAAGATGGTGGCATTTTAAATTATTTGTTTACTTTTCTTTTAAAGGTACTGTGAAAACTGGTACTTTGGGGGAAGTAATGAAGAGAATTTTACCGTGATGTTTGTCATTTTCCACAGTGAAATATCAGTGATAGAGAAAATGTACATGAATAAGTCTTTTATAGGAAATTTTACTGTCGTTAAAATAAAAGGATCACTCCAGTATTGAATTTTCACTGCCTATTTAAATTCTCATGTTTGTTTTAAATGTTTTCTGCCTTGAAGCAGGAAATTCCTACAGAGAAGAATATGCTTATTTTTTATATAGCAAATATTTTTTCAGAGCACTTGAGATTATATTGCCTGTTTAAGAATGGAATGTTACTAGGAATAACTTTTTAATTTGTTTTTGTGTAGTCTCATGAAGCAAACAGCACTGCAGTCAGATTTAGAGTATGCCAGCTCATTAATAAACTTCTGGGGAGTATGCCAGAAAATGCTCAAATTGATGATGACTTGTTTGATAAAATTAATGAAGCCATGCTTATTAGACTGAAAGATAAGATTCCAAATGTAAGAATACAAGCGGTTTTGGCTCTTTCTCGACTCCAAGACCCCAAGGATGATGACTGTCCAGTAGTTGATGGTATGTATAGTTTCCTAAATCTTGTTTCAGTGTGTTGACTTGGTTAATTTTTCAGTATTTGGGGAGAGAGAGAGAGAGAGAGAGAGAGAGAGAGAGAGAGAGAGAGAGAGAGAGAGAGAGAGAGAGAGAGTGTGTGTGTGTGTGTGTGTGTGTGTGTGTGTGTGTGTGTGTACATTCATAAGGAAGTCAGAAGTTGGAGTCAGATATTTTCCTCAATTGCTCTCCACACTATTTTTTGAGACAGCATCTGTCATTAAATCTAGAGCTCCTCTGCTCAGACTCATTGGCCAGCAAACCCCAGGAATCCTGTCTCCTTATCCCCATTGCTAAGATGATAGGTGCATGCCACTATGCCTGCTTCTTATGTTGGGTATGGGGGATTGGAACATCAGGCCTCATTATTGTGCTACAAGTACTGCACCAATAGATCCATCTCCCTAACCCAGCATTGAACTTTTACTTATTAATTATATGTGTCTTTGTGTTGTGGAAGTATCAACCCAACAACTTAAAATAAGGGAATATTATAACTCCGTCTTGCTCTTAACTCTAGTTGTGTCCCTTTCTTTCAGAGACAGTAATAATTAACAGTGAATTTTTGGGTTAATTGCTTTATTCACTTAAAAAACCTAAACTTTAAACAATCACACATTTGTTTCAGTGTCTGCCCTTTTTTTTTGGTGAATCATATTACATTTTTTGTATTTTTTTCCCTTCAAAATTATTCCTAATTTTAGCATTCATTTAGAACTGTATATTTCTATTTCTGCTCCATTTTAATGTTTTGTTTTATGGAGTTTATGTTGCATGTTAATGGTCCCTCTAGTTGTTTGAAATTACTTTGCTTTAGAAACTGTTAGAAGTAGGGTGTAGTGGGGCCATTCCTTTAACCTCAGTACGATGAGGCAAGACATCTCTCCAAGTTTGAGGCTAGACTAGTCTATGGAATGAGTTCCAGTACAGCCAGCCTTGGCTACACAGAGAAACCCTGTCTTGAAAAACCAAACCAAACCAACCAACCAAACAAAACAACCCAGTGTTAGGATTTTTCTTATACATGACTTTGGTGCATAGATTAAAGAGTTTTATCGAATTATACATAGAGATAGACTTAATATAGGTTCCACTTTATTATAGTAGGTAAAGTATTCTAAAAAGCTATTTACTAATTAATATTCTCAGTAATGGGGTATAAAAGTATGCATTGACCTACATTCTCTTTAGTTTCAGTCCCATTTTAAAATTTGATGCTCTATCTAGTATATGTTATTGTTAACAATCTTCATAAATTTAGCAGGTGATCATCATGAGTTGCTTAAGGATGGTGGTACAGTTTGAGAAGTGTTACTATTAGGTGATTTTTATAATGTTGAACATCATAGTGTGCTTGGACAAATGGATCGTAAAGTTCAATAACTCAGTGTGACTTTTGGTGCAGTCCAGAAGTTCCATTTAACATATATGAGACTACTGCTGCTATATCTGGCATACTCTTTTGTATAGTTTTTTTTTTTTTTTTTTTTTTTTTTTTTTTTTTTTTTTTTTTAAACAGGAGTGCACTCAATGGCAAAAGTAAACACATGAACTTTTAACAGCCACTTATTCTCAAGGTTCAAAGTGTAAAGTCAAATGTGAACCATGACAATGAACCTTCCTAACTATAGAAGTTCATTGAGTTGTATAGTTTTTGGGTTTGGTTAATTTCGGTGTGTGATTTTTTTTTGGGGGGGGGTAACATTTTTATAATAAAGTTTAAAATAAATCAAAATAATAAATCCTTATAGAAAACCGTATTGACTTAAATTGCCTACTCTAATCATCTCCTGACTTTTGGGGCTGTTTTCATTTTTACTCTCCAGTCACAGTATATTTATTAATTTTTAATTCCATTCTCAGAAGGAAAGTTGTTAAAATTTTTTTGTTTTTTGTTTTTTGCTAACAATGAATATATAAGATTAGTACATGGTATCTCTGTTATTTAGAAATTGAAATAGCAATTTTAATACTAAAATGTATTGCTTTATTTTTAGCATATGTTACTTTGATCGAAAATGATTCAAATTCAGAAGTTAGGCGTGCGGTGTTATCCTGTATTGCACCATCAGCAAAGACTTTGCCAAAAATTGTAGGACGTACAAAGGATGTAAAGGAGGCTGTCAGAAAGCTGGCTTATCAGGTAAATAGTTAATATTTTCACTAGGCATGTTTTTGAAAGATGAGCCAATTTATGGTATTTTGGAAAAAATCTTGGTAACAATGATTTTTTTCCAGTTAGGACTTTTGAGGAATATAGGTGATTTAGAGAATTACTATATTACAGGTATTAACAGACAAAACATTTGGGTTAACTTATAGAAAAATGCAGTATTCATAAATAAGACATTGCTAAAGTATATTGGGATTAATGGTGATCTTGTACCTTTTAAGGTGTTAGCTGAAAAAGTTCATATGAGAGCCATGTCCATTGCTCAGAGAGTACTGCTTCTTCAACAAGGTCTTAATGACAGGTCAGGTAAGACACACATCTTTGTGAATACTGGATTTTGATGTTGGACTTGAAGTTAATAAAACTATTATTTCCATAAATTTGGTGAAACATTTGGGATTAAAGGCTTTGGTATTTTGAAGGAGAAAGGCATTTCTTTTAGACTTCCTGTGGTAAATTCTATGCAGTTGCTGTTCCCAGAAGTCTGACAGAATCTTTCTTTTTACCCCATCTTTCTTAGTACTATTGTGCTTTTCTATACAACATAAATTTGTTCTGTGCATCAGAAACAATTAAGAATGAGCAGACCTGTATAATGCCCCCACCCTTTCATCTATTAAACTAGAGAATCTGCTTATACAAAGGTTCTAAAAATTCTTGAATCTCATGAGGTCATTTAGTATCAGTTTTGGTGTACCAAGAAAGCAAACTTGAGTTTGTGAATATTGTCAGAGGACTGACTAGGATGCCCTTAAATCAGTGTCTCTCAACCTCTGGGTCACAACCCCTGTGGGGGTCGAATGACCCTTTCATAGACTATCAGAAAATTCAGATATATACATTATAATTCATAACAGTAGCAAAATAATTTTATGGTTTGGAGGTCACCCCAACATGAGGAACTGTATTAAAGGGTTGTAGCATTAGGAAGGTTGAAAACCACTACCTTAAATAAAAATAAAGTGTTTAGTAAAGTATGTTGTGATTTCAGTATTACAAATAGAATTCCTCTAATAGAAGTCTGTCAACAAGTGAAATAGTAGACTTTGCTTATTCTGGTGCTTGATGTTCAATGAAAAGACATGATAAAGAACTTTTTCATTAGGATATATAGGAGTTAGGGTTTTACTGCTGCACTCCCATTTGTATTTTGAAATAAGCATTATCATGATTTAGTAATAGTACATCTTTTTTGTTGGCTTGGTTTGTTCTACCTATAATCTCTATTTATATTGTAAATACTAATGTTAACATTGACTTTATAAAAGTTCATTAAAATGGGGATATTAGAGAGGGAAAAAGTCTAGAGTATACATTGTTTATCTGTTTTAAATGACTTACCAGATGCTGTGAAACAAGCAGTGCAGAAGCATCTTCTTCAAGGCTGGCTGCGTTTCACCGAAGGGAATATCTTGGAGTTGCTTCATCGGTTAGATGTGGAAAATTCTTCTGAGGTTGCAGTTTCTGTTCTCAATTCCTTATTCTCAGTGACTCCTCTCAATGAGTTGGTGGGAATCTGTAAAAATGATGATGGCAGGTATAGAATGAATTCATTATTTAAATTGTACAGTGTATTTAATTAAATTGAATTAAAATCCAAAATTAAAGTTATTTTTTGTTCCCTATACTTTGAGATTATTCTATCAGTACCTTTTATCTGTTTCATTCTTTAATGAATGTCTTTTTCCCCCTCTGGTATCAGAACTCATTACTTTTTATCAGATACTATTTCATTGTGCCCTTTCATTTTGTATTTTTATTTTTGCATACATTTATTGTGAAAACATCCCCAAATATGCATTCTTGCTTTGTTAGCTTATTTGAAGCTTTCTTTTTTGCCTTTCCTTAGTCTAAGTTTTGTTTTTTTTTTTCTTTTTTTAAATTATTTTTATTTTATTAGTTCAAATTAGGAACAAGCTTCCTTCAGATGTCAATCCCTTCTCCCTCTCCCTCCCCTCCCCACCAATATCCCACCTGCCCCTAGCCATTCCCCCTCCACTCCCCAGGCAGGGTAAGGCCCTCAAAAGGGGCTCCCCAAAGTCTACCACATCATCCTGGGCTAGGCCTAGGCCCTTCCCCATGTGTCCAGGTCCAGAGAGCATCCCTTCATATGGGATGGGCTCTCAAAATCCCTTCCTTTTTTCTTTCTTTTTTTTTTTTAAGACCTTACATTTTTAATACAGTGCATTACCCCTGTACAAATGGAAAAAAATTAAGTTCAACATTTCTAGAACAATATGGCTGTTAATTTTTATACAATGCCGACTGAACTCGGTAAACTGGGATGCTTTTTTCCAAAGTTGACAGCACAGCTAAAGTTTCCAAAAATTCAAATTATATATATTTATATTTATATAAAAAGACCAATAATTTTTTTTTTTTTTTTTTTTTTTTAATTAGCTTCTCAATCATCATCTGGAAGGAAACCATTCTGAGCAATATCATTAAAAACAGCTCTGATAAAGCACGGTCACTACTATGTATCAAAAGCAGGTCCACATATGAGTGAGTGCATATCATGTTTGTCTTTTTGTGATTGGGTTACCTTGCTCAGAATGGTTTCTTCGAGTTCCATCCATTTTTCTGCAAATTTCAAGATTCCATTGTTTTTTCTGCTGAATAGTATTGTTTGGGTTTTTTTTTTTTTCTTTTTCTTTTCATTACTTTTTGGGTGGGTCAGTTAATGACTTAGTAATTAAAAGAAATCTACATCTTATTTCCATCCTTGTTTTGCTTTTCAACTGCATGTAAAGATAATGCTCTCTTATTTTCTTCTAAACAAAGGAAGTTGATTCCAGTGGAAACATTAACTCCTGAACTTGCTTTGTACTGGTGTACCCTTTGTGAATATTTGAAATCAAAAGGAGATGAAGGTGAAGAGTTTTTAGAACAGATTTTGCCAGAGCCTGTAGTATATGCAGAGTATTTACTGAGGTAAAATTTTTCTTTTGGTTTGAACTGTACTTAAGCTGCTCAGGTGCCAATCTCATAGCTCCCCTATTTAAAGTCATTGTTGGAAACAAGTTAAAAAGTATTGTTGTTCAAGTAGGTATAAATGGGTGTGTTCATTGAGTGTTGCTGAAGAATCTATTGTGTGCTTAGTATACTGAATGTATAGAGTCAGGGTCTTACTATCCCTGTCACATGGCTCAACATCAGCAGCTAATTAATGTGACTTTCCCTAATAAAACTTTACTTTTTCTTGAATTTTATCTAATTTATATAATAACAATTTTAAAAATCATTCTTTGTAAGCTGTACAAAAAACAGATGATTAGATTTGGTGCATTGAACTAGTTTCAGAATCATAAGGTGGAGATGAATGGCCAGTTTTAGTATAAAGCAAGTCTTTTTCAGTTAATAACACTAAAAATAAAATGGAACAACTTACATAACTTCAAAGTTTTATTTTCCTTAATTATCTGTCTTAACATATGTCTTGATAACTTTTATGTCAACTTGACACCAGCTTGAGTCATTTTGGAAGAGGACACCTCAACTGGGAAAATGCTCCCACTAGATTGGCCTGTGGGCAAGCCTGTGGTACATTTCCTCGTTTGATGGTTGATTTGGAAAGGCCTAGCTCACTGTGGGTAGTGATATCTCTGGGCTGGTGGTCCTAGATTCTTTAAGAAAGCAAACTGAGCAAGCCATGGGGAGTAAGCAAGTAAGCGGCATTCTTCCATGGCCTCTGCATCAGCTCCTGCCTTTAGGTCCTGCCCTGTTTGAGTTATTAACATGACTTCTTTCAGTGATGAACTATAATGTAAAATAGGAAATAGACCATTTCTTCCTCAAGTTGCTTTTGGTCAGGGTGTTTTACCATAATAGAAAGCCAACTAAGACTATAATTTCTACTTACTTCACTGCAAAGTTATATTAAAAAGCACTTATTCTTGTCAGAATTCAAATGTAGAGGTAAATTTATTCTTTGCTTCCCCAGTCCCAACAATCATTAGAGTTAACAGCTCAATATTTAGGCTGTGCATTTTCAAATCTCTTTCTTTACATGTTTTAAATGCTCAAGTAAGTTTCTTTTTGAAAATATAGCATTTTATATAGTACTGTTTTTTGATTTTTATTTTCTTTGATCTGTATATAAAATCATTAGTTGGTATGTGATATTACACTATTTTGTAGTGCCTTGTGTGTGCTATGTCTCTTCCCTAAGTTACATCTACTTTATTCTAATTATTTTAGTTATATCCAGAGCTTCCCAGTAGTTAATGAAGAACAGAGAAGTGATTTTAACTACATTGAAAATTTGATGACAAGAGAATTTATAGGTCAGCAATTGATTCTAATTATAAAATCTTTGGATACCAGTGAAGAAGGAGGAAGGTATGTCTAAATGTTAACATTAGATCTAATTTCTTATAATTTCATTTATTTAGTAACCTATTTTGTTTAATTTTTAAGATAATTCTGACTTTAATTTTAGCATAACTATAAATGATGAAGATATGTCCTCTGATTAATCAGGGTTTTTTTATAGAATAATTTTTATTTTATGATGTATCTTGATCATATCTGTCTCAAGTCTCAAGACTTACTTCTTTTAATCCTCA